TGAAAAGTATATTGCAAAAATAGTATTGGAGTGTTTAGCTTACAAGAAAAATATTTGCTGAAATGTGTGATGACTTTTTTTTTAAAGTCTGCTTTTGCACATACAGTTACTTTGGTAAAGTACCTGAAAATAATTATGGATAATACATTTTATTTTTAAAAGCAAATAAACTGTTAGAATGGCTAAAATATCTCTGCTTGATGTGGACTGACATGCACATTTTGAGAAAATAATTAGTAATGGATTTTTAAGGATTTCCAAATACAATTTATTTTAAAATTGGATGTGTGCAAAATTTTCAGCATAACATAATATTATAATTATAATTCAGTGGGCATGTTATAATCAAGAGGCAAACAAAATTTTGTGGGGTACAAAGTCTTGGTTAGTGCAACACCTTGTTTTGTAATGAATCTGTAAAATATATGTTCTTAACCTATTATAGAACATAGCTTTCAAATTGGCATTATGTTGGCTTGTTATACTAGTAACTGTACCGTGGCGAGGTGTTTTTTGGTGGTGTTGTGTAGGTATAGTTGTAAAGTAACCCCATTATATCATTTACTAAATCCGTGAAGTTTTCACTACAAGTAACCCCTTTTACTTACTCACTCATGCACCCACCCATACGCGCGCACACACACACACACCCATTTTGCGTGCACATACACACACCACATATTCTGATTTTTCATCAGGATTATTTTGAAGAGAGTATTTATGATTAAGAAAACTAAGTACCTTTTGTATGGTAATAGAAAGTCACTAACCTGTAAATAAGATTTAGTGTACATACAATACTTTAGTTGCAGGCGGTGAGTTTTTACTGCTTTCAGTGCTCTTACATTTTGCTGAGCTATTTATACTAATACACTGAGATAAATAGATATAAATACAACTTTTTGTAGTGGTCACACTTGCTTCTAGCTCACAGTAATTCCTGCAGTGACTTACCCATTTTTCTTCCCGTATGTTTGTTTTTTGTTAAGTTACAAATGTGATGTATAAAAAACAAACTGCAATAAATCCTCTTCAGGTAATTTCTGTATGAGCATATATTATTATTCAGTTATCTTTATACTTCAGAAAAAAGGACTTGTCAGAACACCACAGACAGTTCTAATAATAGTCTGTTTTTCTTAGCTTGTACTAAACAAGTTAACTTCTAGTTAATGAGATATTTATGAAGTCCTTAAAAATACTGGCTTCCCCACCCTTGGCTTTTCTCCCCAATTCCCACTCCTTTACCTCCTAGCTGTTGATGGATTTCTTTGTGTGCCAGTTGAATGAAATCAATTCACTAGGTGCCCATTTGCAGAATGATCTACAGTCCTGGCTTGGTGACATCTGGAAACTCCCTGTCACAGGAATTGCAATTCCTGACCCAGCCTGCAATGCAGGAAATGAAATCATGGTGTCCAAGGTTTAAGACAGGCCAGCTTGTTAGCATATCAAGCTATTGAAGGGGATGGAGGAAAAAACTTAGAGATGCTAACTGTGGTAAGAGAAGAATAACTTTTCATTATGTAAATGTGGTGCTTTATTACGACTGTAACCCTAACCATTACTGCATATCACAAATATTTAAGTTACTGAAAACCTATTAACCAGCAAAGAAAGGCATGAATCTATTCAAAAGAATGTTATAATTGATCCATCTAGTTCTGTTGTGAAAAAATGCACAAATCCCAGACAAATGGAAAATATATTGGCTCAGTACCATCAAACATCCATAACACAATGCTAACATTCATAAGTATTAAACATTTAACACGGATATACTCAACTGTGTTAAAAAGACTATCACATGTTTAAAAGTTAGTGTTTTAAAGGTTGCTGTGAATTTTGTATAAATAATTACTACTGAATAAAAACTGAAAAGATGTTTCTTCTTACAGAGATGGTAAGTTTTTAAAGTAGACATTTATTAAGTAAATGAACAGTGCTCTACATGTTGAGAAGGCAGACTTGTTTTTTTTGTTACCTTCTAGTACCTTTTCTCAACTAAATAATGAAAGCTTTTCCAGGATGAGCTAATGGCTTACAAGCAAAATAAATAACCAACAATCAGGAAATTAGAGAAACAAGCTGCCACATATTGTGAGCGCACAAAAATAAGTTTACAGAGAATTTTAAAAATGTCCTTCTGTGAGCCAAAAACAGATCAACAATCATGAAGCATTTAAAAGTAAAAGCTTTGGAACAAAAACTGCCTTGATAGAGTCTGCCATGAAAGCCACTATAAACAAACAGTAGGCACCACCTGTTACTTTTATGAATTTAGGTGGTAGTGGGAGGAGCAAAGGCAAAAATAACTGAAGTGGGTGAAAGGCCTCTTCAAAATTGGTGTGCACCAATTTTTACAGTAAATGGAGTCTTGGAAGGATGTACCTGAGTTTATAGATTTAAGAACAAGTGCACACTTGCATATTAAAAAATCTGTAGTATTATGGGACTTAGATCCATTACTGTTTCTTCTGGAGGTAAACGAATGGATAGCTATGGTGTTGTTAAATATTGCTCAATCCTTATGAATGTGTCCCTTCTTACAAAACTTAGAATTAAATTTTTTTCAGATAAACTTTTGGCGTTGAGAGAGACTTTCATCTCAGCAAGTGTCATGCTTACTATCAGAATCATCATGTGTTCTTAAACATAACAAAAACAGTGCTGATGGGCTATTTGTCTGGAGACTGGATGGTAGTCTGAGCTTTATCCTGCCCAACATTTTAAAAGGAATGAGTCATTATAAACTAGTTTAGGGTCTGTTCTTCGGTGCTAGGCATAGATTTGGGATATAATTTTTCTTAAATGGTTAAATAAACTAATTAGCTGTTTCCTAGCTATCATTTACATCAATCTCTGTACCAGATGACTGGAGGATAGCTAATGTAATGCCAATTAAAAAAAAAAAAGCAGCTCCAGAGGCAATCTTGGCAGTTAGAGGCCAGTTAGCCTAATTTTAGTACTATACAGAAGAACAGAATTATCAAACACAAATGAACAGGATATGTTGTGGAAGAGTCAACATGGCTTTTATTAAGGGAAATCATGACTCACTAATAGATTAGAAAAAAAACAACAATGGTATTACGATTCTTTGAGGGTGTTAACAAACCTGGACAAGGGTGATTCAGTAGATATATAGAGTACTTGGACGTTAAGAGAGCTTTCAACAAGGTCATTCAGCAAAGGCTTTAAGCAAACTAAGCAGTCATGGGATGAGAGGGAAGGACCTTTCATGGATCAGTAATTGGTTAGATGGAAGATAAAAAACAAAGGTTAGGAATAAATTCAGTTTTCACAGTGAAGAGGGGTAAATAGCAGGGTCTGCCAAGAATCTGTCCTGGGACCAGTGCTGTTCAATATAGTCATAAGTGATCTGGGAAAAGTAGTAAACAGTGAGGTGGCAAAGTTTACAGACAATACAAAATCACTCAAGATAGTTAAGTTCAAAGCTGCCTAAAAGGAGTTGTAAAGGGATCTCTCAAAACTCTCTCTCAAATGCACTATTTGATCTGAGGAAGTGGGATCTCTCAAATGCACTACTTGATCTGAGGAAGTGGGTCTGGCCCACGAAAGCTCATCATCTAATAAACCATCTTGTTAGTCTTTAAAGTGCTACATAGTCCTGTATTTTGTTTCAAAACTAGGTGACTGGAAACAAAACGGTAGATGAATTTCAATGTTAAATGCAAAGTAGTGAACATTGGAAAGCAATGCCAACTATGCATACAAAATGATGGGTTCTAAAGTAGCTGTTACCACTTAAGAAAAATCTTGGAGTCATTGTGTGTAGTTCTCTGAAAACATCTGCTCAATGTGAAGCAACAGGGTCAACAAAAAAGTTAGGAAGTAGCAGGAAAGAGATAAGAAGACAAAGTATAAAGCCATTGTATAAATCCACAAATGTTCACATTTTGAATACTGGATGTATTTCTGTGTGCCCCATCTCTAAAAGATATATTGGAATTGGAACTGATGCAAAGAACAGCAACAAAAGTGATTAAGGATACAAAATAGTTTCCCTAGGATGGGGTGGGCAATAACATCCCAATGGTTCACTAACCCCTAATGGGCCGTTGCCACTATATTTACCTGCATGGCCACAGTACCAGTGATCGAGAGGTAGGGATGTCAGTGTTAAACAGCAAATGTCCCCCTTACCAGGCGATGCTTATTGCTTACCGGTTAATGAGCGGCTCAGCTGGGCTGGAGTAGCCCCCCCACCTGACACAGGTAGGGGGACTGCTCCAGCCCATCTAGGGCTCGACACACCGAGCTATGGACAGGGGTCGCAGCTGAGCTATCCTTCCTGCGTATGGTGAAGTATAATGGGCCTGGCTGGAGCAGCCCCCCACCAATGGTGCAGCAGGCCCAGCCTCTTCCTTAGCAATCCCAGCTTGTGTTGGGCCGGGCCTGGCCTGGCCAGGCCACAGCAGTCCACTGTGCCACAGGCCCAGCCAGACTGGAGCAGCCCCCTACCCATGCCATGGGTAGGGGGCTGGGGTCTGCTCTGTCTGGACTGGAGCCTGTTTAAGTGGTTAGCCAGTTAAACATAACATTTAACTGGTGAACTGATTAACAGGATTTTGTTTCTAATCATAGCTCCCATTGGCCGCGGATCACTGTTCCCAGCCAGTGGGAGCAGTGGGAAGCAGCACGGACCAGGATGCTGTTTCCCATGGCTTCCATTGGCTGGGGGTGGCAATCTGCAGCCAGTGGGAGCTGTGATGACCAGTACTTGCGGCCGTGCAGGTAAATATAAGTGGTGGGAGCCTGCCAGGGGCTAACCTTAGCAGATCAGATCTGGCCTGTGTGTTGGTAGTTGCCCGTGCATGCCCTAGGAAGAGAAATGAGAGAGACTGGGTACTGTATATTTTTTAAAAGAGCAGACTAAAGGGGAATCTGACAGAGGTCTATAAAATAATTTGGGGGGTAGAGAAAGTTAATAAGGAAGTACCCCTTCATATAACTGAAAAACCTAGGGTCACCCATTTAAATTAATAGGAGTAGATTTAAAACACACATAAGGAAAAGTTATTTTTTCACACATCACCCAGTCAACTGTTGAAACTTTTGTTTCCAGGAGGTGTTATGAAGCCCAAAAGTATGTCTGGGTTCAGGTAAATAAATTAAATAAGTTCTTGAAAGATAGGCCCATCAGTGGCTATTAGCAAAGATAGTTAAGTATGCAAGCCATGGTCTGGGTGTTCTTAAGGTTCTGACTGCCAGAAGCTGAGACTGGATGACAGGGAATGATTCTTTTGATATTTGTCCTGTTCTGTCCATTCCCTGTAAAGAACCTGGCCTCACTATCAAAAGAAAGGATACTGGGTTAGCTGGACCGTAAAGAATCTGGCCTCACACACTATCAAAAGAAAGGATACTGGGTTAGCTGGACCATTGGTGTGGCCCAATATGGCTATTCTCAACCTCTTAGAAAGATCCATAAATGATCTGTGCTTTCCCAAATTTCCACTATGTCATTCACATTTGAATTTGCACTTCTGTCATTCTCAGCTGCAAGCATTATTAGTCCAGATGGTATTTCTTGAACTAATGTTTTTTTAAGCCTGTGGGTTTTTTAACAAACTTTAAAGTAATGAAAATTCTTTCAAGTGCAGCCAAAGTAACAGGTGAAGTTAATCCAAGTCTAAATGAAACATAAAAGTTAAGGAATACCAAATCCTACATGTTTTTAACATCTTTAAGTATTAGGTACTTACTGAAGGCCTTACAACCCAGGTGGCAGAAAGGTGAGCTGGGTAAGCATTGTTCAATATTAACTCTGCAAATGAGAGGACTTGCACATAAAACTGTCATTATATAACATCGCCTTTCTATGGTGTAGTAGCTTCCAGATAAGACAGTACTCCAAACTATTGGCCTTGGTTGCATCACTGAAGTGCCTGCCTTTTCTCAGCAATTTCCATTGTTAAGTATACAATAGTTAAAGACATTTGTAGGCAAAGTTTCTACATCGGGGTGGGTTTTAATGGGGGCCACTCCAAGATTTTGGTAAATGGTCAAAAGCCGCACTTCTATGGAGCTGGTGCGGGGTCTGGGACGGTGAGTGGGGTGTAGAAGGGAGATTAGGATAGAGGACTGAGATGCAGGAGAGGGTATGGGGTCTGAGAGGGAGTTTGAGTAAAGGAAGGGGTTATGATCTTGGGCAGGAGTTTGGGATCCAGCGTGCAGGAGAGGATTCTAGCCTGCGGGAGTGGTGTAGAAGTGAATAAAGGGTCTGGGAGGGAGTTGTGACTGGGGGAGGAGGGGGAGGAAATACCGAAGGTTTGGGTTGTGACCTGCGGCAGGAAGTTGGGGAGAGAGTAGCTGGGATACCAGAGGTAGGCTCTGGCTTGGGAGGTGCTTACT